ACCTTTGGTTGGTGGTTTGAACCCACCCAGCAGCTCTGCAGAAGAAAGACCTGGCAATCTGCTCCCCCAAAGATTACAGCCTAGAAAACTCTATGGGGCAGTTCTACCCTGCCACATGAGGTTGCTATGAGTCAAACTCGACTCAAAGGCACCTAACAACACCATCTCCATTATATGTTTGGGTTCTCCTTCCTCCACCCATTTCAAAGCGGGGGAGAAAATCAAGACAGTTATTACTGTATAATTTCCCTCCCCACAAACGTCTTCTCTCTTTTCAAACTCGCTACAGCAGAAAGTTCTTTAAGGAGAACATACTTTGCCTCTGACTTTTCCCGAAGGAAATGTTTGACACCAGCTGTGATGGGGAAGAGAAAGTATCCTTACTGACCCCTTTCCCTTCCCCACAACACATGTTCTGGTTGCCCCACTTTATCCCCTTTCATGCAGCTCCTAACCTCAGAAAGACTAAAGCTAGCTGGGGCTGCAGCTGCTGGCTGATCCTTCACTTGAAACAAAAGGGCTTAAGCAGGCAGCAAAGCAGACACATTTCTTAAAATTAAAATTAAAAAACAAAACCAGGTACATCACCTTCAAAATACTTTATAAATTTCCTCTCTCACCAACCTCCCCCTTCTCCTCTCAAATACATAGAGAAGATCCTGAAAACAATAAAAAAAGCAAATCCATTGCTGTCAAGTCAATTCCAACTCGTAGTTGGCCCTCTAGGGCGGTATAGAACTGCCCCCTCGGGCTTACCTTGGAACAGGTGGTGGACTCAAACCGCCGACCTTTGGGTTCGTGGGCAAGCTCTTAACCACTATACCACCAGGGCTCCTAAAAGTACTACTTTACTTTAAATCAATGGTTCTCAAATTTTTAGCCTACATCAGACTCACCTGCTTGAGGATTTGTTAAAACAAAGATTGTTGGACCCCGGGCCCAGATGTTTTCATTCAGTAGGTCTGGAATGAGACCTCAGAATTTGCATTTGTAAGAAGTTCCCAATGTCCCTAGGTGGTGCAGAAGAAATGACCTGGCAATCTGCTTCTGTAAGGATTACAGCCTAGAAACTTATGGAGCAGTTCTATGGAGTTCTTATGGAGTTGGAATTGACTCAATGGCAACTAAGAAGTTCCCAAGTGATGCTGATACTGCAGGTCCAGGAACCCATACTGAGAATTACCTGCCAGACGTAGAACAATTGTTAAAGAAAGAGAAAAGTCAACAAGTTGAGATTCCAATTAATGTCACCTCAGTTCTTCTGTGGCTCTGGATGAGTCTCATTCCCTAGTAAAGGAGGCAGCATCATGGGGATTAATACAGCAAGAAGTGTTTGTGCAGACTAGGGTCTTAAATTATTTCCTTTCTACACTGGCCCCTCAAGATAGTCGTAAGAAACAGAAAGTAAAATTACAGAACTAAATATGACTATTTTTAGCCAGCCTTTTAAATTCTCACTTGCATCTTGGCTGCAGTTCCATTTTCTCTCTTAATCTGTCCTGAGTTCTATGCAATGGGTGCTAGAATCAGACCAACTTGGGTTCACATCCTGCCTTACTTGTTGTGTGTCCTTCTATAAGTCACTTAACATCTTTGCCTTCATTTCTCCCATCTCTAAAATGGGAATAACAATACTAGCATACCAATTGCCACAGAATCAATTCTGACTCATGGTCACCTCATGTGTGTCAGAGTAGAACTATACTCCATAGGGTTTCATGGCTGTGATCTTTCAGAAGTAGATCGCTGGGCCTTTCTTTCTAGGCATCTCCGGATAATCTGAACCTCCAACCTTTGGATTCATAGCTCAGCACTTAACCATTTGGGCCAACCAAGGAACCTCCTTACAGTGGTGTTGTGCAGATTAAATTTCATTCTGCACATGCTAAAAAGTTAGCTTTTATCATAAATTCCTATGTCTCTTGGTTTTCTTATAGGACTATTCAACATATTAAATATCATTGTACCTATCCGATATGATAGGATTTTTCAGTCTTAACTTAAACAAATATTTATTGACTACCTACTATGTGCCAGACATATAACATTATGCAAATATACTAAAATAATACCCTGTAAGGTAAAATGTATGACATAAATATTATTTTGATTTGGAAATTTTTTGACTTTACATGAACTTATATTTAAGAAAAATACCTGCCTCCAAAACTGGCTAACCAGGGAAATTGCGAGGATATGTTTACTAACCACAAATTTTGTTTTTGTAGAACAAAAAAACAAATGACAGACACTAAAATAATAGAATGGAGGAAACAAGGAGAAAGTAATTCTGCAGATACCTTGGCCTGAGATTATTAAGGGTGTATTTTAGCCCCTTCTAAGACCACAAGCTCACTTTTCCCAAAAATCATTTTTTTATGTGGTAAAATAGCAGTGAACAAATTTGGCCAATGGTATCCTATTTACAGTTCACAATGATGTCATTTTTAACCCATCTTTTCAGTCAAAAGTTTAATGAGCAGTTAGTAATAGAAGCAGAGTTCCATCTTTCAATTCTCTCTGTGAATTCACCCCTCTACCAAGTGGCCAAGGAGCCCTGGTGGTGCAGTGGTTAAAGTGCTCGGCTGCTAACCAAAAGGTTGGCGTTTCAAACCCACAAGCTGCTCTGTGGGAGAAAGATGTGGCAGTCGGCTTCCACAAAGATTATAGCCTTGGAAACCCTAGGGTCACTATGAGTTGGAATTAACCCCACAGCAATGAGTACAGGTACCAAGTGGCCACCCAAATTTCTCAGGCCTCATTTCTTTTTTAAGTATATAGTGAGTCCTAAATTCCGGATATAACATGTATTTGACTGAATTTTCGGAAGGCTAATGTGATATATATACTGAAGTTTTGTTCTTATAAGGAGCCCTATAGGGTCGCTCTGAGTCGGAACTGACCCGAGGGCAACGGGTTTGGTTTTTGGTTTTTCTGGTGGTGCAGTGGTAAGCGCCAGGCTGCTAACCGAAAGGTTGGCATTTCAAACTTACCAGCCACTTGGAGGGAGAAAGATGCGGCAGGGAGAAAGATGTGGCAGTCTGCTTCCATAAAGATTACGGCCTTAGAAACTCTATGGGGCAGTTCTACCCTGTCCTGTAGGGTTGCTATGAGTCAGAATCGACTCGATGGCAGTGGGTTTGCTTTTTGTTTGTTTGGTTTGGTTTGTATGCTCGGTAGTGCCTTTGCCCTCTCCTCAAGCTTCCCCTGCCTCCAAGAAGGTAATCAGAACCACAAAATTATAGGTGCTGAGTGGGCTTCTAGAGACAACCTAGTGCAGCCCTAATTTTACCCATGAAGAAACTAAGGCCCATGACGTTTTAGTACCTTGCCCAAAGCCATGTGCTCTTAAGGACACTGAACGTACACAGATGTCTTTGTCCCAGTCAGCTGTGCTGTCCCCCTACACCACATATCTTGCTTAAAAGAGTCTTTCGCAAGGTATTCATTATCCGATCTTACGTAGAAAGACCCTTGAGCTTCAACAACACTTTCCTCACAATGTCAAGTTGACTGTAATTGTTATTGATGCTGCAAGTAAAGTTACCTTTGAGGACGTAGGAGGTGTCTGCAAGCCTATGACGTATGACACTCAAAACTACAGAACTTGGGGAAATAGATTCGATTCCCAATAAAAGGGCATGTTACCCCAAACTCACTATGCAATCAGATGCAAGGATGATGGAAATCTACTTGGGCAATATTCTCCTTTAATTTTTTCTAAAGCATCCTGCAAACCTTAAGTCTCCAAAGCTTTTATTGAAAGTGTAACTTCCAAAAGCTGGGCTTCTCTACTTGGAAAAAGCATTCTGTCATCGGCGTTTACATTTCAAAATGCTATCTGTACATTTGTCACTTTACTGATGTGACTCCCCCCCCCCCCCATCTAGACCTGTGGCTTCTGAGAGCAAGGGACATTGACTTAAGTCTGGCAGCCTGCAGCTGGTCGGGGTCACTCGGCCCATTTTGTTTCCAGCGTCTCAGTGGCTTCCCTCCCTGCACCCGCTCGGGTCGTCCAGATGCGGATGTACCCCCGTTCAGTGAGATTTATCACCTCAGACGTTTGCACGACGCTGGCGCTCTCTCAGTCTCTTCTCCCATTCCCGCACGACTTCCTCTGGCCACAGACTGGCTAGGGGTTTGCATCCTCCCTGGGCTCCGGCGCGCAAGGCCAGCACGGTGCCAGGGACCTGGACGCGCGCTCACGGGGCCCAGGCATCCCTCGCTCGCAGTGCTGCGGAAGCTGCGGGGTCACGCCCGCTCGCCGGAGCGACTCTTTTCTCTCCTCACAACTCCTTCCTTGCCTCTGCGCAGGATCGGCAGCCTAGCGCCTAACAAACCAACCACAAACGAAAAAAAAGTTCTGACTGGAGACACACACAGCGCAGAGGATCACTGGCTCAGAGGAGGCGACACTGCTGGCCAGGCTGACCCACGTCCTGGGACAGCCCCAGACCCCCGGGCGCCACCCGGGTCCTGCGTCCCGCTCGCTGCAGGTCAGGCAGGGGCTGCCCAGGGAGGGCTAGCCCAGGGATCGCGCGAGCGTGAACACTGCCCCGGTGCAGCCAGGCCGCCGGGCAGTAGGAGACCAAGGGGGAGAATTCACAGAACGGAGGGTGGAGAGGGACTAAAGCCTCACGCACGCCCCGAGCGTCGGACGGGACAGGCTATGGTCACCAACGGTGCCAAGGAGGGCACCGCCAGGCCTAAGTACACACGCGCGCGCGCGCATTCACTGAGCTCCCGTGGGGGCTCGGGGTGGGGATGCGGTGCCCGCCCCGGGGTACCTGCAGGCACGAACAGCCAACAACGCTCCCGCCTCGATGCCCACAGACCCGCGCGCCGGAGGAGCAGGCGCTGCGGGTGGCCGCACGGAAGCTCGCCGGCGTCGCACCTGGGAGCCCCGGGGCAGCGGGGGTGAGGGCACAAAAGTCCCGGCGCGCCCGTCTCCCCGGCAGAACTTTCCCAGCTGGCGCCGCCCTCGCGCAGCCCTTCCTTACCCAAATACTGTCGCAGGTCCAGCAGGAAGCGCGGGGGTCCCCCGCTGAGCTGATAGAAGAGGGAGCCTAGGCAGAAGAGCAGCAGGGTGGCCATGCAGAAACCGTAGTCCCGGAGGGAGAAGCGCAGGAAAGGCAGCAGGGGGAGCCGGCGCTTCCAGCTGCCCGGGCCCGGAGGGGCGCCCCCCAGAGGGGCCCCATGGGGCCAGGCATCCGCGCCGCCGCCGCCGCCGCCGGGATGCTGCTGCTTCTTCTTCATCGCCCGCTCGGCCGCCTCGCACAGCCTGCCCGCGCCGGGAAGAGGTCACCCATCCGCCTGCGGGAGGAGAGCCCGGCCGGCCGACCGCACATGGAGGGCCGCGCCGGGCAGCCGGTGGGGGCGGGGCGAGCCGAACTCGCCGGGCTCAGGAGACTTTCCTCGGCATGGTCCCCGCCGCCGCGGGCGCTCGGGCCGCCGTGCCCAGCCCCGCCGGGGCGCTGCCGCTCCGCTGCCGCCTCTGGCCCGCGCCCCGCCGCGCTCTACACTCGCTTCTGGCCGCCGGGGCTCGCTCCAGCTCCAGCAGGGACCCCTGGCTTTGTGTCTGTCGCTGTTGGTGTGTTTTGTCCCGGTTCAAGCTCCTCTACCAAACGGCAGGGAGGAACGGGAGGCGGACACCGTCCTCTCGCTCCACCTCCCTGATAGGGGTTTTCCTCCTTCTCCTCCCCTTTCTCCTCTCCCCTCCCTCTCTCCGCTCGGGTCTCCGCGTTGCGTTAGGGTGTCACGTTACTGCCTCTGCTGGGGAAGAGCCGCCGGCGATTATTCGCAAGGAGGAAGAAAGTTTCTGGGTTTTTTTTTTTTTTTTTTTCTTTCCTCTTTCCCCTTTCTCAACTCTCTGGCCTCGGTTACCGCGCCACCAGCGACCTCTTGGGGGCCCCACTGACTTCCCTCTCGTAAACAGTTACCGGCAGGAAGAACCTCCACTTATTTTACTACGTACATTTTTTCATTTCAGAAACTTGATTCTCCTTCCTTATCCCAAGCGAGCTGCTTACCAAAGGCGGATAAAAAGGTAGTTTAATAGAGGTTCAGGACTTTCCTGCGATGGTCAGAGACCAAGTGGTGTGAGTCATAATTAAAGACACCCCATAGCGCCCGACTCATCGCTGCGACTCCCTGGAAGAGAAATAGAAGAGTATGCTTTCTTCTCCCTTTCCCTGGTCCTACCGCTACTCAGGAGTTCCCTGGTGAAAACGATTAACTCGCCTAACCAGAAGGTTGGAGGTTTAAGTCCACCCAGAGGCACCTCGGAAGAAAGGCCTGGCAATCTAATTCGGAAAAATCAGTCATTGAAAACTCTCTATGGAGCACAGATCTATCTGACACACATCGGGTCGCCATGAGTTGGAATTGACTAGACAGAAACTGTTTTGGTTTGGGTTTTTTACAGCTACTCTACTTAGGGACAGAGAGGCAAGTTGGCGGGGGGTAGATAATGAACTAAACAAGGTCATTCCTCTAGCATCTTTGAGAGGAAAGAGTCTTCACCCATACATATCTTCTTCTTCATAGCTGCCTCCCTTCCCTCCACCTGAGAGGGGCGGGCTGGGGGGGATGTTTGAAAGAACGGAAGGAGCTTCTGGACCTGAAAGAGAACTTCCCTGGACAGAAAGGCTGCATCCACTGCACAGGCACATCCACTGAGGGGATGGGTGATTCAAGAAAGGGCTTCTCATCAACCCTTAAATAAGAATAATTTATTGAGGCTCTACTACCTGAGGTTTATGTGACTTGCCTAAAATCATACAGCTAGTAGGATTTGGCTTGGGAGCCGAACTCAAATCTGTTTGAATCTCAAGTCAGCTATACTAACCACTTCACTGGACTATCTCTAGGAGGGACCTTTGCTCATAATTTGCATGGTGATTGGAAGATGAGCTATAGCTAGTTTAGCCCTGGGCACCTTGAGAAACTGAAACCCCAGTTCCTGGAGCCACTTGTCTCTGACTCCCTGCTTACTATGTGCAATCCATAACTGATGCCTGATTAGAGAAAGAACCAAGAACCACAGACCTCTGCAGTTCCAAGTCTATGTTCCTGAAAACCTCTATACAGTTGGGTATCTGAAGAATATTCCATAGGAAATTAGTCCTGAGATCAAGAGCTGATCCTCTTCGGACTTAAGACTAATATGCCTTATCCATATACGAGTACCTCTGATTTGAAACATGAGTGAAGAGGCAGACACATAGGTCATGAGCTAAAGAGTCATAGCAGGTGAAGTGGGCAGGTGTCTCACACATACATCCATACACACACATACATATTCATGTGTACTCACAAATTCTACTTCCTAATTTTATGTTGTGCTAGCGGAACTTTCTACGGGATAGGAAGGCTGCTTAAGGACCCCAACAGAAGGCAAGCTCCTTTGTTTTATCACAGGAAGTCCAGAATAGGGTGCTAAAGGTTTGTTTCACATTTATTCTATGAAGGAGAGATTGCTTTGGATTAATGCACACATTCTAGAAATATGACTGCCCCTGAGAGAATTAAGCCAATCGGTTATTGCCCATTAATGCGAATTACTTTAATCAGCACACCGAGTAGCCCAGGATGGGCTCCCAATTAATAATTTTCGAGTTAATGAAGAGGGATGAGCAAATGGGAGAAGCAAAGCCATTTTCATAATGTTCAGTTGATCCTAGGGGTCTACAAACAAACCTTCAGAGGCCACCTTTGACACACTGGCCCTGTGCCTGAGGCCTGACCCCGTAATCTGAATGCTAATTGGATGTAAAATAATGCGCAAAATCCTCTGTGTTCTTAAGAACTGGAGTCTAGAGATCCCTCCCACAGAAAGCTTTGGGAAATCTCCCAATTTTTTCTCCTAAGGAAAGGAATCTGAGGAACAGTGAGGTGATAACAAGGAGACAGAGCAGGAAGAAAGGAAACAAACATCTGAGGAAATAACTAAATATGGGAATAAGAATTTTTTTTCAAAAACAGTGAAAAATTTATAAGGAAAGTACAAGGGGGCAAAGTCCATCTCAGAAGAACCAAGCTATGACATGAAGAATTGTAGAGGGAAAAATAAAAGTCAATTTTTAAAAGATTGCATTTATGGACTAAAAAAACAAAACCTGTTGCCGTCAAGTAGATTCCAACTCATAGAAAAAAAAAAAATCTCACAGAAGGAAAAGAAAAGATACAAGATACGAAGTTTCACATGGAAAAAAAAATGCTTTGTATTTTCACCCAACAAAAACTTAGATGTTTGGGTAAAACTTTGTTCTTTGAAGTCCAATACATGTTCCTTCAAAATTTTTTAAAATTTAAAGTAGTTGTATCTTCATTCAAGCCAGCTAATAAATCTACTAACTATAGGAATTTATGAACAACTTTTATTATTAGTCTTATAACTGAATATATTTTATTCAACACCTTGACCTCCATCCAGTGTCTTGAGTCAGTGTCATCTACGCACCCAATGACAGGGCCCCAAAATACCTAAAACAAATTCTAACAGCACTGAAAAGAGAAACTGACAGCTCCACAATAATAGTAGGAGTCTTCAACACACCATTCTCAGTAAAGGACAGAACATCTAAAAAGAAACTCAACAAAGATACAGAAGACCAAAAGGGCACAATCAGCCAACTTGACCTCACAGACATATATAACACTCCATCCAACAGCTGCATAGTACACATTCTTTTCCAATGCACATGGAACATTCTCCAGAATAGACCACATCT